GAACGGCAGCGAGCCTGGACAAGCACAACCGGACCCACACCGGGGAGCGCCCCTTCAGCTGCGAGTTCTGCGATCAGCGCTTCACGGAGAAGGGGCCCCTGCTGAGGCACATCGCCAGCCGGCACCAGGAGGGGAGGCCCCACTTCTGCCAGATCTGCGGGAAAACGTTCAAAGGTAACGGCCGGGGCGCCGAGCTTTCGCATGGCTCTTTAGAAACTGCCCTCCCTTCCGTGGTGCGGGTTAGCATCGCTGCGGGCGCGTACAACAGGGCGCTGCCGCCAACGGGCTCTCGCTTCCCTTCCCAGCTGTTGAACAGCTGCGTGTCCACGTCCGCCGGCACAAGGGCGTGAGGAAGTTCGAGTGCACCGAGTGCGGCTACAAGTTCACGCGGCAGGGGAGGCCTTCGCCAGCCCCGGGGACCCCCGCGGAGCGTGCTGCGCCGGGGGAGCCGGCCCTCACCGGGCCCCTCGTCGTGCCTCTTCCTTTTGCAGGCTCACTTGAGGCGCCACATGGAGATTCACAACCGGGTGGAGAACTACAACCCCCGGCAGCGGAAGCTGCGGAACCTGATCATCGAGGACGAGAAGGCTGTGGTGGTGGCGCTGCAGCCGCCCCCGGAGCTGGAGGTGGGCTCGGCTGAGGTGATCGTGGAGTCCCTGTCCCGCGGCTCCCTGCCCAAGGAGATCCCCGTGCAGAGACTCTGCTCAAACGAGAACTTCTCTACGGCGGATGTGATCGAGGAATCACTAATTATAACGACGACGATTCCCGAAGACTGTGAAACGTAGCGCGACCGCCTGCGCGCATCCTTCCTACCAAAACACAATAAAGCGTTAGGCTGGAGCCACTCTCTGCCGCGCTTGTTCTTTTCCAGTTGTGCATCCGCCCCTTCCCCACAAAGCTCCCGCCCCAGGTTGCAGGGAAATGAAGTTACAGTCGGGTCTCAAATGAAGAAACAAATGCGAAGCTACTCAGAATGGCTACTTAAATAAATGTACATATGCTGTACGAGGCAGGAGTGACTGAGGACGCCGTGTGTGTAATACTGTGAATTGTTTTAACGAGCTCTCCTTCGCAGCCCGAGGGACGGCTGGCGCTCGCCTGCCCTTTCCTCCAGCGCTCTCGCCTTGCGCTGGCGGTTCTGCCTTTGAGTCTGAAAGCTCACGATTAAAGCTTACCTTCCTGAAGAGAGTGCAGCTCTGCCCCTCTCCTTAAACCCTTGCCGAAAGGATTGTCTCCGCCGTTAAATTTGTGCCTTATTTCTACTTTGTTTTGTCAAGCTTCTGCTAATTGCTGTTTCTTTAGGACATTAAAGGCGGGGCAGGACCTGTATCTTCTCACCATCGAGATAATTTAGCTGTTACTTAACTTGAAACACATTATCTCAAGGAGCTGGACAACGCTCTAAGCTCCTGTTTTCAGGTGTGGGGATTTATATTTGTCTGAAATAACACGATCCAGGGTTGCCGTGACATTGAGAACCGTTTCCTGAGTATTCCCAGGGCGGGGGGAAGATCACCGAGCATACCCACGTCCCGAAATCGCAGCTGTGCTCTCTCCCCTTTCCCTCTTGTACTCACCGAGAAGGCAGAAGGTTCCCGTTTAAACGTACCTGAGGCCTAGAATGAGAAATATCACAGTAAAAACTAACTCCAGTAACCTTCCCCTCAAAGACGACAGAGAGATTTATGTAACGTGTTTTATTTAACTTGACTGCTGCAAGTAAATTTAAAAACAAACTATGAGAATAAAAATACATTATCTGTAAATGTAAAATGCCTTTGTTTCAAAGGATGGGATTTAAACTGTACTCAAAGATTCGGACACAATGAATTTTACAAAAAATAAATACAGATCCGTAACTGTTCAGCCGGTTGGGGAGTTTGGGGGTGGCAGGTCCAGCAGCGAGCACTACAGTATGAGACAGAGTGCACGTACTATTTATAGATCAGCATAAATACTTCGGTCTGCAATGTGAGTTCAGCTGTGTGGCGCACACCGTCTCTCCCCAGGCACGACACGGCACCGTGGGGACAGGCTGCTTTGGCCTCACGGGTCAATGTGGTGGGACGTGGCCATTACTCCCAGAGACGAAGGAGCCGCCCCGAATCGCGAGCCCCGGCACATCCCCCCTGCCCGGATCCTCTGCCAAAGGGGGGGCCCGCAGCAGCGCTGGGGAAGG